AATGAAATTTCGACCTTAGACGAAATTTCTGCCGGACTACCGCTAACTAATTTAGTCCCAATTCCGAAACTAATTTAATTTCGGACCCGAATCTGAAAAACGAAATAATGCAAAGTCGGAAGCAAAACTAAACTAATTTTTTGCTGGTGCACATGTCTACTGTGCAGGCCACTCATATTTTTCCACATCAAACTGGTCAAACAACGTCTTTTATAGAGCTGGCTTTGTGCTTAGGGGAACAGTCCTACTGGAACAAAAAAGAACCTTCAGAAACTGTCAACACAAGGTTGTAAGAGCACAATAGTCTAAAATGTCTTTGTATGTTGTAGTATTAACAGTACCCTTCACTGGAAACACCTGAACTCACTTCCAGGAGCATCCGCAAACTTTTGGCCATATAGTTGGTGTGATGTTTAGAGGTTTACAAGCTTTTGGCCATATAGTGTAGAAGAAATAGCAGGTTACTCATTCCTATATCTGAAAACTCTTTGGCAAGATTGAACCTTTAATTGCATATAAAATCATAAAGTGTGAATACTGCAGGTAATATAACTAGCTGCCAAGGCAAAGGATGATAAAGTTTAATTCTTTAATTAATTACCGATAATCATTTCTACATGTTCGTGCCGGATTTATGGCAACCAAGGTCCGCTCAACAGTCTTTTTGAAGCTATTGGAATAACTTGTATCCCTATCAACAAAAGAGCATACAATAAATCAATCACATTTTACCTAGGGATGAGTGAAATGGCCAATTCTGGTGCAAGAGGAATCCTGCATAAGCAAACCTTTGGAACTGAAATTCAATCATTAGTGTCTACCAGGATATTTGACTCACCTTGAGATAACATTTATACAATGCAAAGCTCACTTGAAGCAGATTGCCGATAATTGGCAGCGGGGTCGGTCCTGGAGGAAGCCGGAGCCGCGTCTTCTGTGTTCTCCATACGATGGTGATGACGTAGAAGAGCATAAATGAGCAGAGAGACAGAGTGAGGACATCCATGTCTGACAGACAAAATAAAATCACAGCTCTAATCTATGAGTTTTCCTTTTATTCTGCCAATTATTAACATGCTTGAGGATTGGATTACTTAACCCAATGCATTCCAAAGCTCAGCTACCCCCATCAGGCTCAGCTACCCAAATCAGGTCAGGTTTCAAATCTTTTTAAAGAGAAAGGGGCAGGAACAATTCCTAACATATAGAGATAATCTGGCACCTGATTTTCCAGTTTAACAAGCGTTGTGCCAACACCCCTTATTGCATATACAAGGTAAGATTCAAATATTCCAGATATGTTCCTAAAGGTGGCCATACACTGTACAACCATCGCAAGAACTTAGTCTTGCGATGGTTGTAAAGTGATTAAAAAAACGTATGATCTGCCCATCATGGACAGGCAGATCGTACTCTCGATCATCGCAAGCCCGCCCCCCTGAGGGGCGAGCTTCCGATGACCGCAATGCTGAACGGGCAGTGTGCGCGTGCGCACACCGGCCCGTTCGGCAGTTATCTCCCAAGCACCGTTCAAACCAGCCGTACGATTTTCAGCTGGTTTTCTAGCGTGCTCCTTAGACAAAAGACGTGCGACCGTACAGTAGAAACGGTCGCACGTCTTCGTTCACACTGCTCGATTCTCGTACGATCGCGGGATTTCCCGCGATTCTCGTACGAGAATCGAGCAGTGTATGGGCACCTTAAGGGTGATGAGCCCAGGCTTGCTGCAAATGCAGTTTGCCTGATATTCTGACTCCGATCGTTGTGATAGCGAAATATATCCCTTGCTGAGACCTCTATGCCTGGCCTGTATAAGCAGATATACTCACTGCGGACAATCCTCGTCAGATAGCTGAACTCGTCAATACCGATTCATTCAAAAGAGGTGTTTATTCTTTAATATCAGGGGTTACAGCAGATAACAGGAACAGCAGATGAATGTTGATAGTATTGTGCGGTCAGAAAATGATGCCTTTCCTACGTACTGTGCAGATCACATGTGTGTCCTTGTTACATGTGGCTCTTAACTGTGGCCATGACACAGGAAGTACTGCACACAGGAAGAAGGGAGGGGCATACATAGACTGGAAATATGTCGTCACATGGGGAACAGAAATACAGAAAAGACATGTGTGATACCACAAAGGCCACTAGATGGCAGCATAGGATAAGACATGGATTTGCTATGGGGAAAATAGTTAGGCAAAAACACACTATAATAACTCTATCTAAAACAATGCTAATATTAACTGAGGCTATGCATCTCATATTCTATGCCCCGTTGGGGCGGCACACCTGAGTTCACCCAAGCCCACTCAAAACCTCTCCTGTGCAATCAGTTGCGGAGAGGCGCAAAGCACCCTTGTGCACGTTTTTGTGTGCTGTGATTTCACGGTTCACTTTTTTTGTTCACGGGTTGATTTACAATGCACTTGATTCTAATTTGCTTCTCGGCCTTTTGGCTAAGATCAAGTGTAGTATCTGTTCTTATCAGTTGGAGGAGAGGGAAAGGAGCCACTGTACTGGCCTTATGGCTGGAATCTGAGTACCCAGCCTGAGTGATGGGGGTCCTAAAAGGCCCTGGCTATGGAAAGGAGACCAAATTGAGCGTCCACTCACGTAAGAGTGGGGGTCGGGAGTACTTCGCGCGTGCCGGGGATCTGGCAGGGCCCAGTTCCTCCTGATTTGGTCGGCTTCGGCTGGCCACAAGCAATGGCTCCTCCTGCTTTCAGGCAGGTGGACACAAGTGCCTTGACCATGTCAGAAGCTTTGCGCCCCAGGGGAGGGGGGGGTCAGGGATGGACTGGACCCTGTCTCTTCAGGAGACGGACCTTTTTAGATGGCACCCCTTCTGTGCACTTTTCTGTGTGTTCATATGCACTTTTTTGGTTCACTTTGTGTGTCCGATCCTTGCTCCACGGGCTTCAAAACAAAAAAAAATCTAAGATTCTAAATATTGATTTTGGGAAGAGGAGTTATTCCTTCTAATTGGGTGATGTCCAGAGACCAAGAATCATACTAGGTACAAGTACTGATAATGTTCCAGCTCCAAGACTAGACCAAGTACAAGTAGTAATACCTGTCCAAGTACTCGGATACCAATTGCTGATATATTTTTGTTTTAGTGTCATGTGGCAGTTTTTCTAAAATGCTACAGACTAATGATTTCAGGTACAGTGGTGGAGCGCCAGAACCAGGTCACAGCTGCAACCCGGGTAGTTTGTTTGACAATGGCAAGTATCGGCACTGGTATCTGAACATCCTTACTTCTAATAGAATGAGTTGTAAGCGAGTACAAAGTGACATGTCCTGGCCTTATAGACCATCTAAACCATATGTGGAACTTGCCCATGGAAGTCCTGTTGTGTTTGGACTCCCTGTGATCGGGTTGATGTTACCCTGTGAGGTGGTATAAAATGGTTTAATTTGTCTGGAGCTTGTTCTAAAACTAGGACGGTCACTGAATTTCTGGTTTGCTCCCACCAACAGGATAAAACAATACTGTCCAGATGTTTCATCACTTTTATTTTATATCCGACTGACGTTTCTTCATGTGTTTTTGTTGTTGTTACTACTGCTGTTTATATTTCTGTGCACTGTTCTGCCTTTTAGGAATATTGAATAAGTTGGCCCTCTGTGTAATAGGCAACAAATTTACAACTCCTAGAGCAGGGGTAGCCAAACCTTAACCCTCCAGCTGTGGTCAAACTACAAATCCCTTTATACATCCTGCCTCTGGATGTCGTGCCATTGACTGTCTGCAATGCCTAATAGGATTTGTAGTTTCACCACAGCTGGAGGGCTGAAGTTTGGCTGCCCCTGTCCTAGAGCTACTGTTATATTGTATTAGCAATACCAGTATGCTTGCTTGTTCACTGCAGTGCTAATGTGTGAGATTGCATTGTGTGGCTGTGCCCTCATGTTCTCTGCAATTGCAGCACTGGGCTAACAGGATGAGGTGGGCAATCTGATAAATAAAAGGTTAACCCTCCAGCTGTGCTTTTACTACAAATCCCATCATGCCTCTGGGAGTCATGCCTGTAACTATCAGTCTTGCACTATCTATTGGGACTTGTAGTTTCAGAACAGCTGGAGTTGCCCTCCCCTGAGCAACCTGGAGTCCCCCTCTAGTGCTGACTGGTGGTATTGCAGTCGGTGATTGTTTTATAGCCGCCTTCTACCGCTTCAAAGCAAGTTTTCCTTCATCCCTCCTCTCCTAAACAAGGGTTTATGACCGAGTTAGCAGCAAGTTGCTGTGGGAGTGATCTCTTCATATCTGATCTGTCTATGGTTTTTCTGTGTGCCAAGATTGGGACCTATGGGTTCATGTGATACTTTCCAGCATGCTGGTCATAATATAATGGACATAAATAACTTGCCCATCTTCCAACCTCCCACATCCTTGTATTCATGCCCCTGACACCCTGTTGGCTTTTGCCACATCAACTTCCACCAGAGACCGCACCCAAGCACCAAGTACAACAGTATATCCTTTAAGTTAATCCCCAAGTGCCCACTTTCTTTTCTATGGTATCTTGTAATGTCCCATGGCACCCACCAATGTGTGTTGAGGCAGCTCATTCAATGCACCTCAATGGACAAATTGGCAGACCTGCACCGTTTTTGCCTACAGTATGCACTGCACATCGTCTCAGTAAAACGGTATGCACACTGTGGTGCATTGCAAAGAATAAAAAATAAAAAAAATAAAAATGGAAAGCAAAAACGCTGCAAGTGAGCATGTAAAATACTTGCCTGCAGTGGCGACTCTAGGAACAATATATAGGGGGGCACATAAGATACCACAGTCAAAACGGGGGGGGGCACTACTAATAATTTTCACCACTAAATCATACCACTGAAAAACTAAGTATATATAAATAAAAGATTACAAATATCATGAGATGACGAGGGAGCATGAAGCCGGCTTCCCAACCATTTAGAAAGCCGGGTGCTCCGTCATTACACGGCGCCCAGCTTCCTGATTGGCCAGTTTCCCGACCAATCAGGAAGCCGGGCAGCCCCTCATTACATGATGCCCGGTAGGGCTGCAGCTAACGATTATTTTCAAAATCAATTAGTTAGCCGATTAAGTTCGGTTAATCGGGTTAAAAGAAAAAAGGCTCCAGTGATGTGTTCCTCAGCATCACTTACTTTGAATGCCGCGGCTACATGCCGTGGAGCCGGCTAGGGGGCGGATCCAAGTGACGTTGAGGGACCTGATTGGGACCTGTGCACCTGTTGCTTGTTCGGTGCAGCCGGCAAGTCCAGTCAGAGCGGCAAAGGGAGAGACTATTTTCTCGGGGGAGGGGGAACTGGGTAACTTCTGCCCCTCCCCCTGAAAAAATAGTCTCTACCTCCGCCGCTCTGACCGGGCCGGCCGCAACGCACAAGCAGCGGGTGCACAGGTCCCTTGATGTCACTCCGCCAGTGGGGGGGGGCATGCAATAACCTGTAGCGACGCCACTGCTTTCCTGTCTTTGTGCTTTTACCTGCAATTTTTTTTTTTTTAGGGTCAAGGGAGGACATAAACCAGCGTCCTCCCGTGACCCAAAGCTCAGTACACAGTGAGCTACAGCTCGCGGTATACTGAGACCGCCGCAGCCGGGAGGGATCCTGACATTACTGTCGAGATCCACCCAGCTGCGTGATTGACAGCTGGCTTTGCTTTACTTTGTCAAATTATTTGTAACTCTGTCCAGCCAGTTGTGGTTAACACACGTTTGCCTACCTATATAGCTGGCGGAGTGACTCTATAAAAAAATAATCGGGGCAACTGGACTTGCTGTAGTATTCTTGAAGACATTTTGCTGGTCATCTGACTAGCTTTCTCCATTCTGAATTGAGAAGGCTAGTTGGATGACCTGCGAAAGGTCTTTAAAAAATAATACAGAAAGTCCAGCTGCTTTAAATGTATTTTTCACAGATCTACCATGACCTGGATGAATGAGAAGCTTCACTAACAGGGTGACACCACTGTTTGCAGTTACAATATTGCAGCGAACAATGCCACATACAGTAATATGTCAGTGTACTTTGTACAGCACTGCAAAATGTTA